AAACTCTCTATATTCAATTTTTTAGTTGTTGGAAGACTGAAAAAAAAAAATTGGAACTGGAAAAAAAAAAGAGAGAGAAGAAAAAAGAAAGAAAGAAGAGAAGAGAAGAAAGAAGAGAGAGAGAGAGAAGAAGAGAAGAGAAGAAAGAGAAGAGAGAGAGAGAGAAAAGAGAGGGAGGAGAGAGAGAGAAGAGAGAGAGAGAGAGAGAAGAGATGAGAGAGAGAGAAAGGAGAGAGAAGAGAGAGAAAAGAGAGAGAGAGAGAAGAGAGAGAGAGAGAGAGAAAAAAAGATGAGAGAGAGAAGAGGAGACGAGAGGAAGAGAGAAGAGAGAGATAGAGAAAGAAGAGGAGAGGGAAAGAGAAGAGAGAGAGAGAGAGGAAAGGAGGAGAAGAAAAAGAGAGAGGAGAAAGAGAGAGAAGAGAGAAGAGAAGAAGAAGAAGAGAAAAGAGAGAGAAAAGCAGAGAGAGAAAGAGAGAAGAAAAGAGAGGAGAAAAGAGAGAAGAAAGAGAAGAAAGAAAGAAAAGAGAGAGAGAGAGAAGAGAGACAGAGAGAAAGAGAGAAGGAGAGAGAGAGACAAGAGAAAGAGAGAACCCAGAGAGAAGAACAGAGAGAAGAGAGACGGAAGCAGAGAGAGAGAGACAGAGAGAGAGAGAGACAGAGAGAAGGACGAGAAAGACGGAGAGAGAGACGGGAAGAGAAGAGAGACCGAGAGAGAGAAGAGAGGAGACCAGAGAGAGAGAGAGGACAGAGGGAAGGAGAACCGACGAAGAAGAGACAGAGAGAGAGAGGACAGAGAGACGAGAGAGAGAGAGACAAGAGAAAAACAGAGAAGAGAGAGAGAGAGAGAGAGAGAGAGAGAGAGAGAGAGAGAGAGCTGGAATTGAGAAAATTTTTAAAATGTCCTAGGGGATTCATGTCAAGTACCCCCAAAACTAATGAATGATTTTCAAAATTGCTTCAAAAAGAGCTTCGACTCGTTTAGGTGCTAGTGGTGTTCACAGACAGACGTTTTGAATAAAACAACCACTTTTTCGATATCAGGGGACACCAAAACGGGTATTTCCGTTGAAATCTCGAAATTGATTTTCTATAGCATTACACAACTTTCCCTATATATTACTCCGTATATACATACATATACAGGAAAGAAGAAAATTATAGCAAATATTTTGTTTATATCATTCTTAGAGAACTTCATTATGTTAGTTTGATATATAAGAAAGCATTTTTGTTATAATATTATGTATTTATTATTCTTATCAAAAAATATTTGGTATATTTAATGAGCAAAATGAGGCCTCACTAATACCATGCTCGTCATTCCACTGGAAAGTTTATCTCATTTCTGAAATTACAGTCAATGTGACTTATATGTAATACTAGACAAAAATAACATTATATTGCAATAATAAATCATTCTAAAAATACAAATACATATCATTTTGATTACAGTTATGTAAACGAATAGGTTAGGTTTGAGAGACTAAGCATGAAACAAATTACGCATATAATCCCATACACAATCTATACAGCAATAACTGTCACAATCAATGTTACATTTGATAATAAAAGAAGGGTACAGAGACGAACAGGCTGCTAATGTTATCAGTATGTGATCGGCTGAAGTTTTTGTTATGGGTCTCACAGACCCAACCCATTTATTGCCGGGTTCATGGAAAATGGTCCATGGTGAGAGGCAACTGCACACAGATATGGCCAAAGAATGTTATGTTAAAATGAGAGAATGATTTCAACCACGTTTGCAACTGATCAAACATTAGATGGATAGTCTAAGCAGACAGCACAGAGCTCTAAAAATAGGTGCAGTGAAAAAATATCATCATAATCATGACGTAAGGAGATATTAAAATATTGAATTTTTTTGTTATTACTGGTCTGTGAAGTTGTAAATACTAGGATAGCCTAAGATGTCTTGAGAACAATGTGGGCTTGTAAATAAATATTGTGTGGAGGAAATGCAGAGTTATGAGTATTTTATAAAGTAACATTTTGGTGTAATGGCATGTATTGAGTATTCTTATTTTCCTCTTATTGCACAAAGGTGACTGGTGGACAGAGAGTTTACTTCAGATAACAGTTTCATATTTCTGGCCGTTAGCAGCAAGAACTTTGTCATTTTGTCAAAACTAAAAGCTAATTTTTATTGTGTTTATTAACACAATGCAGAGTTATCAATTTCGTTTAAACAGATGCAGAACAGCAGCTAGCAGAAGATTATGCAAAATATAAATAAATAATAATAGGTAAGAATCAACACACTTCGTAATTATATGGTATTGTTTGTAGAAGACACCACTCAACTTTAAATACAGGAAAAATATATTTATTTCTTTTATTATTTTTTTAAAATGAAATATACATAGGTTTTTCCAAGTTCATTGATGATTTAGATAATTAACAGTTCCTGGGAAATATTGCAGCCTAAACATTGCTTCAGAACAATGATGTGGTAAGAAAATGTACATAATCACTTCCAATATAATTCATAGATGAATCATCTCATCCTGCCCAAGAGTGTAATGCAGTAGCATTATTTTGTGCTGCCCAATACAAATTAATGCACTGGTGATGAATCATGACTCATGCACACAATCCAAAAGCAGTTGAATTTTGAAAGCCATATGACATGAAATCTCAGCAAGACAAATGTAAAGAAAACTGATGAGTAATTTTGTCATGAACATTTAAGAAAATAAAGGTTAATTTAAGAGATATTTACAAGTAATCCTAGTTGAGCACCAAAATTAGCTTAAAGGGAAAGTGTGGAACATAAATCCACTTATTTTTTGCAATGGCGACCTAATGTGGTACCAAATAAAATAAACATATCTCTATGGTAAAAGATATACTTAATTTTGTACAGCTACAATATTGTTCCCACCATTTCACATAAGTCTCCTTTCTTTCTTTCTATTTCCCAACATTCTCTCCAGTTTCTTGTGCAAGAATATCCTTCAACTTTTCTTAACGCTTCAGTGATCACACTCAAAATTGGAATGCAAATAGTTGTGTGAATTACAATTGTATCCATTTTTTAAAGAAATTCTTATTAAAAATATTTTACATACAAATAGTCTTTTAATTCAAATACTGATGAGTAGTGGTATCTAAAACACTGGTCAGTTACAAAATACTATTAAATGTTTTAGAATGTTGATAAATTACAACTTCTACAAAATGCTACACAAAATTGCATGTACCAAACCTTTAATCAAATATTCTGAAATAATTGCTTAATTGCAATGTAAGTGAAATGTGCCCAGTGACTTAATTTGCAATTCAGCATAAAAAAAGTGGTTATAGTGAATGTAGGAAATACATTGTGGAAATTAATTTCCTCTTGGTAAAAAAATGTGTCACCGCAATGACAAATTCCAAAAATAGGCAGCTTGGAAATAATGTCTTTGGAAAAATGCCATAATCAAAGAAGTTTTGCCTGAGGCGGACCTGGAATGAGGTCCTTAGACCACTCAAACAACCATGTAAACAAAGGCTATGTTCTGCATGAGCTACAAATGGCAGCAGCAGTGACATACTTTGCTTGCTTCAATTTCAAGCTTCATGTTAATTGATATTCTGCAGGACAAAGCGTGTTGTGTTCTCTGTAGGCATCAGGAAGCATGCAACTGCCACAGCCTCACAGACTGATGACACCTCTTGAGCCACGAGGAAAAGTGATCAGTTTCATTAACTGCCTGCAATGCTGCTGAAAGGATCTCATATGTTATTAGGCAAGGACAAAGGCCTTTGAAGAGTGGAATGATGTTCCGACAGTGGAAAAGGCATCGAAGGGTGTCAAGACTGCATTACGATTCTTAAAAACAGAGGACAATGCAGAATCAAATATGGAGAAAGTACGAACCCTAGAGAAGGATCTAGAGAAATTACTAATAAAAAATGTAAGAAGCAAACAATTGAAAATAATAGTTTTTTAGGGTAAATATAATATTGAAATTTTCAGTTTATACTCTTAATGTATTTTGTTGTATCTCTACATTAATAAAAACAATAATTGTTAACAATTCTAATTTTGACATTGTAAGATATAGTGAACCAAAAACTTGGGTCCCCAGAAGTTCACTATAACCAGAGTCGACTGTAGATGTTTGTTTTTGAAAAGTCTTGTGCTCTGTTTTGTGCACTTGATATACTTTGCATTAGTATATCGAGAAAGATACTGAAAAGTCTATGACAAAACATTTGACAACTCTCACTAGAAACAGCAAATGAATAAGTCCTGATAACAAGTGTAGTCCGTGTGACCACTGACTGGTTAAATTTATATTTTATTCAGTCTCACGCTCATAATTTCAATTACTACAGATAGTCTATCTCTTCCATTGCTGAAAACAATCTCTCCACTGCGGAGTTGAAATATGCTATGTATGTTTTGTTCTTTTGCAATAACCTAGCCATTTTATTTCTTGTTGGTTCTTGTAGACATTCTATCTCAGTTGTTTTAATTATGTATTTTTCTTTCATTCAGCAATCTCTTGTTTCCATTTGTTACCTAAGTGGAGAGACTTCCTCATCCTTCTCTCACTAGTTACTTTCAGGATTCTCCCTGTGAGAAATCCCCAAAGGGAGAGGACAGATTGATCAACCTTTCCGCGGATCCTTCACAATACATCATAGTAGAAAGCTTTTCTTAGCATTTAGTTAACAATTGCCCAATCCCAAATCTAACATGTCAAATTTTGTGGTTTAAAATAACATTAGATCATTAATTCAATGATTCATTTGTATGATACTAATAACGTAAAAAGAAATATAGGAAATTTCAAAAGTATTATCTCTATTAAGACATCAAAGCATTAACAGAAACTTTTTTCCTTTCATATTTAGCATGTATTGTATTATATCTATTTACCTATTATATGAAAATAAGTTACCAAAAACACATTATAACAAGAAACTATAAAATGAGAAAAAAACAACAACAAACAAATGTGTACAAATAGAAAAATTTTTGAACTTACTTGTTGGAAAATTAGGGTTAAAAAGACACCCATCATCATTTTTCAGTTGAACTCTTATGCGGCCTCTAAATAATAATTCTTTACTGCGTTCACGACTATACATTTTATCTTCAACTCCAATTCTCAACCCTGCTGCTGCAAGCACATCTCGAATTTCTTGATGGGTTGGGTTTTCAATAGCCTATAAGAAATTTTATTATTTAATTTGTGAAAGTTACAATGCTAAAGAGGGTCAAAAGTAACAGACACAGTAGGAGCACTCATTAACAACTCTCACTTCCTGGCAAATATAAAAAAATTCAAAGTTATAGAAGGATTATGAAATGGAATAGTAACATGAACAATATAACATTTTATAAGAAAATTCAAAGGTACTTGAAAAGCTCAAAAATTTCTACTATGAGTGTTCTTAAGTAGGTACAGCTATAGAGCCGATAAAATTTTGTCAAAAGCTTTGCAGTGAATTCTATCACACAACTGAAATAATGAAGTGAAAACGTTTGTGCCGAATAATACTTTTATAAATGTTTGGATATTACTAGACTAATGATGATTTTACATAATAAAACTAATTTCAATTGGTATTGCAAATTTTTACAATATTGGTGTGTGTGCTTTATATTTATTTCATTATTTTTTGAGTTTAACTGTTGTTCCACACTATTAAATGGCATTCAAAATTTACAGTCTTTGTTTGCATTAAATTATTTGAACTCAAAAACCTGTTAGAAGTCGTAAATGTTCCACAGCACTGATTCTGAATTTCATTCTTATTTACACTGCTCCTTACTGAGAAAGAAGTGTCATAACGTTGCAGTCCGGGTAAAAGAGAGCCTACTTTTAGGGGATAACTTTCAATATTTAAGTTACTAATACTACTTATGTCTGCTTTACACTTTCATGAAGAGGGCCTGGATAAAAATTTTGCAAGAAAACCTGCACTAATTTTGTTTCGCTATTGAATGAAAGGTAAGATCTCCAATGATATTGTAATCCTATGTAATATATCAACCTCTTTGCTAAAAGGTATACTACTTAAGCCTACAGTATTTGCTTGAGGGATCTTATTCTGAACAATTTTATTTTTCTCCTTCATTTTAAAATCTGACAGTTGTTTTCAACTGTTCTTCTTTTTTTGGTTTGATCCGGGTAGTGGTACTGAGTTACAAGTGATTGGAAATTCTCAGTACAATGCAACCACTGGTGTTACATCAACTCAAAAAATTAAAATAAGGAAGAGGATGGTTTTTAAGAGTAATGCAAATAAAATGTTTTAACTAGTAAAAATGGGGTATTTTTAAAAATATTGTTCGATTTGTTAAAAACTGCTTTCATGAATTTACAAACTGCTTCATGCTTACATGAACTTTGAAACACTTTACATATACGTTGCAAAAGTGTTATATTATATTAACATTTCATTAAAATGTTTTTAACATTCATGAGCATTTCCTATTTAGGTTTCTATCATTCCTACCCACTACCTTTGACAAATCTACTTTGCCTTTGACCACATTAGGTTATGTGCAGACTCTCAGTCTGTTGCATCTACTTTATAGTTAATGAATTATATAAATTTAAATACAAAAATTATTTGCCAGAAACGTAATAAAAATTGTAGACATGTCTGTATGAAATAAAAACTTCTCCAGGCATTACAATTTTGATTAACAAAGACTTTCATAATTCAAAAGAAATCAGAAAATTAAGCCAATACCTTCAGAATACGTTTTATAAAACTACTAACCACATCTTTTGGTACTCTTCTTCCTTCTGCCAGTGTCTTCCTGCTGTTTAAATACGCCGGATAGATACAGATCCACCTAGTACACATTATGAATAATTATTATTATTCATCAGAATATTAGCTGTAAATGGCATACAAAAATTCCATACAAATGAGAGCAAACGGACGAAATTATATTCGATAAGGGAATTATGAGAGAACCTTCAAAACGCTTGAACATATGGAAGATGACATAACCTAAAGGATATTGGTTAAAAATGTTACGTATTATTTTCATATACATGACACAATGACATAATACACAATGGCTACTTGTAACAACCATTTTAAACACCACGAAAGAGTTACCTTTCTCTGTCACTATGTTTTTTCTTGTCATTCCACGGTCCAACAGCATTAGCAGCCATTTTTCTAACACATGGCATCAGAGAGTATATAGTACTCGCGCAACATTTCTTGAATCTTGCTTCCCCCTTGCTGGCACAATAAACAGTAGAAGGCAAAAGTTCGCAGCGAGCACTAATGACAACATTCCAAACCCATCTTCACTCGCGCGAAATATAAACTATCTAAATAAAACAGCCAAGATTAAGCCGCTATTCCAAAAAGCAACAAAAATGGAATTCAGAATTATAGGAAATTTCTCTTTAGTCGTTTTTGTTTCTTCAAAAATATTAGAGAATTTTTTTACGTACGAATGGAAACATTTCTTAGAAAACACGACGCGTTTTCAAATTGCCAACATGGGTTTCGAAAATCAAAATCTACAGAAAGAGACATTTTCTTTTCTTAAAGATGTCGCCTCATCCATGGATCAAAACGAAGCACCTATTGAAATATTTTTAGATCTTTCGAAAGCTTTTTACATCATTGATCATAACATTCTACTCTTAAAATTACCTTCGTATGGAATTCGTGGTGTTGCTCTACATTGGTAATGTTCGTACCTTTAACAACGATCTCAGAGTGTAGAAATACTTTACTGGAATAATGGAACTTTATGTACACACCTTTCTGATTATTTGCTAATTGCATATAGAGCTCGGCCTTATTCTCTTCCTACTATATGTAAACGATATGCCCTCGACGATTAGAAACGAAAGAACAGTTCTCTTTGTGGATACGAATATTCTTTGCAATAAAGAAACCGTAAATAGTACAATATCAGATATTTCAAATTGGTTTTGTAATAAATTAATAGTAAATGAAAAGAAAACTGTTTCAATGCAGTTCTCCATTTCAAATAAACAGCTCGGCACTTCACTGAAAATGAACGGCGTGCCACTGACTGATATTAAGGTAACAAAGTTTTTAGGTCTTTAAATTCAGTCAAACCTTAAATGGAATGTCCATTTAAATGAATTGAACACTAAATTAAGTTCTTTATGCTACGCTTTCTTAATTCTTTCAAATTCAGTCAGCCGTTATGTATTCGCGAATGTTCATTTCCGCCTGAGATATGGCATAATACTCTGAAGAAATACATCTCATAGCTCCCAGACTTTTAATTACCAAAAAGAATTGTTCGAATAATAAGCAAATCCCACCCACGTGATTCTTGTAAGCCTCTCTTTATTAACCTAGATATTTTACCATTACCTTGTCTCTTCATACATGAATCCCTGGTTTTTGTCAAAAATGACTTACTTAAGGGCGGGAATATATTTTCAGCAAACACCGTTGTCTATAACTACAACACTCGACGTAGTAATCATATTCATCAGGTAACAGTATCAACAGCTCACTACAAAACATCACATATAATACGTGTACATTATTTTACAAGACCTTGCCAGATTAAATTCGATAGAAAAGTTTAAGTTCCAAGTAAAATCTTTTCTGTTGCACAACTGTTTCTGTACGATTAGAGAGCTCCAAAAAGAAAGTAAAATTAATTTTAACATTGACATTTAATGCATTATATATCGTTTGGATTGTATAATTCTAAAGGACCTGTAACAAGTATTGTACTTGAGCTTCTGGTCAATGACCACAATCTCGATCAGGTTTTCGTCCTTGATCCTCGAGCAAATGCTGATGATAAGTTCCCTTGTTTTGCTTCTGGACATAAATGTAATCTCAACTTAACTTCTCCCCATAGCACGTCACACACAGTTTTAAACTGTTTAGACGTAAATAAATAAATAAGTAAATAAAGATCGAAGCAGGTGAAGACCGGTTACAGGAGTACTCCTGAGAAAGTTAAAACGCTAATTATTGAGAAAGTTGCGAAGCCACCGTTGTATCTCCATAGATTGGCATTTCTTCACAAAATCTAGTGGCCGATTACGTAACTAATACCCCCACACTACCCTATTTCTTCAATCCATCGTTCAAAAAACGTTGCTCGAGCAATACCAACTAGCATATATCAACCCATATATCAACCATATATCACTATCATATATCAACCATTCATACCAATATAAGACCAGAAATTCTAAGGCCCGCTTTCACGGTGGCTTAAAGTAACGACTTTTCATATGTTGCGCGGTCGTACCACTAGATGTCGCATGATCGCGACTTTTATCACGAATTGCTAGATTCCTCGCGAAGCTTTTGCGATTGCAGAGACACCTCGCGGGAGAATTTGTAGCCATATCAGTCTGCTAGCATGCACGATATGAGCAACTTCGCGAGCTCCAAGTAGGGGCACGGGCAGGGTCCGGTGTATAATACTCTCTGGCAGGGTCCGCCGTGTACGGGCATGGCTTTAATGGCCTCCTCCGGCTTCCTCTATGGGCGAAACTGTGGGCAGGGCGAAAGTGAAGTGGGACTTGCGATTGACTTCATGTGACTGGCCTGACATGTGCCTGAATTGCTCGAATAGAAGTTTTGAGTAATATTCGCTATTTGCCTCGGAGGAAATTTATTTCACAATATTAATAGTAACGTCATAGTCCTGACAGTATTAGCGTACGGATGTGAATCGAGTAAATGTTTGTTTCTAGGTTAGGTTAGCGTGAAACATTATGTTGCGCCCCTTCTCAGAGGGGTGGGGCAGCAGCCGCCCCCGACTTGAGAGATTTCGCAGGCTGCACGCATTTCTGGGACCGCTGTGGGGTGGGATGACATTTTTTTGGAGGTCAGTGGAGGGGGAGTGAAAGGGAGTCTTGTGTGTGGGTGTCACAGAGAGGCACTCTTGGCAAAGATATAAACTGGAAAGGTTGCGATTGAATGAACGTTCTCTCTCCGGTTAAGGATACCAAGAGTTAATAAATTAATTATTGAAATACGAATTTGTGTTTACTTCATGTATAAAGAGGATAATACCTAACACATTGACTTGCGCATTTCTTAATTGTGACTTATTTCTAGCGTCTTCGATTGTGTGAAAATCTTTGTGAATTTTCGATTTCAAGATTATTTGCTAATCTAGGGTCACTTCTTTTCCTATCCTTCTACTTCTTTCACTTCTATTTATTAATATATCATAGCAATGTAGAAGGTTGCCAAAATATATAATTACTAAATAACACTTTTGATGTGAAATATTTTTATCACTATCTTCAGAAATTTTCAAACTTTAACGTAATGCTTATGTATTCTAAATGCTAATTGAATGAGAAGTAGAATATGGATTTTGAAGTAAATGTATTTTTCTATGTTTATCGTGACACGGAAAATAATAGATTTTCTTTATAATTAAGACCTTTTTGAACTTTTCTGCTCAGTTTCATTTCGAATATTTTATTGTTTAGACAAAATTAAAAAAAATATTAAAAATGTTTACAACATTGATTAATATTGATGTATTATTACATGAAGAAAATGTTAGAAGTAATAGAAAAAAGATTCCTTTGAAGTTAAAATATAAAAGCTCATTTAAACTTGGGGCAATAATTTCTAGTTTCCGAAAATAAAGGAAAATGGGTCGTTAATACTCCACAACTAGCGGAGGGCACTAAATTCAAATTGGAACTACAAAAATATCTGACTGAGAAAGATCTTCATTTTGTGGAAGATCTTTCGATAACTTATGCCTTCCCTCGTGAATTTTACACAACTATACCTCATATGCAAAAAACAAATTATAAGATAACACTCTCATTGAGGCTTATTTACATGTTCTGATTGTAATGTACGATCTGGTTGAAATTGTACCGCCACAGTGAAAGGACCATGAATAAATTAATTATTATTATGTAATTCCATGAAATGTTCATCAAGCTGTGGTTGGTCTGTTTAAGTTGTCCCAATCACTGGGTACTTTAGCATGGAGTTTTTTCTTTAATTTTCACTCAATTTCACTATAGTCCTGGTCATTGCGACGAAAGTGTTCCATGATAACAAGACAATGGTGTTCTTTCCCTTTCAAGAAGGCCTATTTGAAAGAGTAGGTACTGAACAATTCACATAACATATCTCAAATTTGCGTTTTTTGACTAGAGTTATTTTGTTTTTAGTTGAATTAGAAGTTTAAAGATGCTACCATTCAAACCGAAACTGGCGTGCCTACTTTGGTGTCACATGACGAAAAGCCGCGGAACTAGATGTCATCTTGTAAACGCGCAGTCTCGACTTTCAAGAAAAGTCACGACTAAAGAAGTCGTGCTTGTCAAGTGTGGTATATGCCATGACGTATGACACCGTGAGAACGGGGCTTAACTGTTCTCTTCAGTGATCTCAACTATATAAATAGAGCTCACTGTTTCTCTTGTATCATTGGACTTTAATACTCTTTGCTTTCGTTACCAACCTAAACTCTTTTACCAACTACATTTCTATATTGAATTATGTCAATAATATAAAATAACGGCATTCAGTTGCCCGAAAATATATTTTTAATGCATTTCAAAATAAAGATCATGACAAATAATAAAGTTAAACTTCGTACTAACAATTTATCTCTTTATATATCTATCTGTAAAGCAGGAAAATGTCATGGAAATTGGCGCAACATTTAATGAGCGATGGCAACCAATGACATATAGTTCCCTTCCAAAATCATAAATGTATTTTCATGAAGGCCTTGACAAGACGAATAATGTAATTTGTTTATTGTTTACAATTTATAGTGCACATATCAGGAAGAATGAACTAAATTATTCCGTATCATTGCTTACACTAACCAAGATGAAATTTAAAAAGGATCACGTCATTATATTTTACAATTAATATTCATGTAATTTTAATAATAATGGAATTTAAAAGTTTATTCCTGCTTTTGTTGGTGATTGCTGGTCACGTAACGCATGGAGGTTATCACGTGGTTTTTACTGAAGTATCAGAAGGTCGATTACGTGGCATCACCGGGAGATCTGCTGGCGGGCGTATGTTTTACGCCTATAAAGGCATACCGTACGCGAGCCCACCCGTCGGTCCACTACGCTGGCAACCACCGCAACCTCCAAAACCCTGGCATGGAGTACGATCAGCAACACACGATGGTCCCGCGTGTCCCCAGTATATCATCCTCACTGAGAATTACGTTGGCGAAGAAGATTGTTTATATCTGAATGTGTACGTGCCACCAGGCGCCACCCATGCACCTATCATTGTGTGGATTCATGGCGGTGCTTTCACTGCTGGGTCAGGGCGCCAAGATCATTACAACCCGGATTTCTTACTTGATCTTGATGTTGTGGTGGTGACAGTCAACTACCGCCTAGGTGCACTGGGATTTCTCAGCACAGGAGATGAGTTACTTCCGGGGAATTACGGACTTAAAGATCAGGTGCGTTAGTCAATGGAAAATGCTTGAAAATCCCAATATTCTTGCCCTGTTTTGACATGCGCTTTTCAAATGTTTGTCGTATTGAATTTTAACCATTACGATGCCACTTTAGATGTAATTATAGGGAGTAGCACATATACTCATCGCCGTCTCAGGCACGTGAAATTTGGAGAGAAATCTGAAAGATTGTAGTATAGTCCACGGGATTTCAGTTTAGTAAGTCGATATATTTTTTTATTGATTACTTGACGTTAACAAAATGTAAGCGATTGATTTAAAAATGCGAAGTTATGTTGCAACTACTCATAAATTCAATATTATACTTTGAAAATAATCTTAGTAAACGAGAGCACCTACGGACACAAAGGCATTGGCGGAAGTTAGAGCAGTACAGGAAGTGGGTAGAAGCAATGTGTTTGTCCTGCTCTTTAGAAACGGAAATGCAGCTCACACGGTAGCCTCGCGTCTTCCCCGCCAGCTTGGGAGCATCTGCGCAATATTCCTTGCACAAAAATTTTGGACTATTAAAGAATGGTGAAGTCTTTTTTGTTTGCCACGTTATCGACCTACTCGTATATAACGTATGAATGTCACTATCATCGTCACATACCGAAAGCGTGAAGTGAAAAAAATCTGTTTTTAGGGGATGGGGGAACGCTTCTGGTTGTTTGACTAATTATTTTGTGTTTCCGTTAGCGTCAACTTTTACGGCCCTTAGTCCCGTAAGTGTCGTGTATGTTTTATCACGAGAGGTGGCGGTATTCTCACGCCGCTGATTGGTGAGATCCAGCGCCGACCTATTTGTCAGCTTGCGAAGTTTCCCCACCAAGTATCTGCCATCGGGCACCACCCCAGCAGGCACAAGCTATAAGCTTTCTACTCATTTCCCATATGTAGTAGTGAAGTGCATGGTCTACGGGTGTGGAAGGGGTCTAAGGTGAGGAAAGGGCCAAGAAGGGGAAGGAAAGATTGTGCACGGTCTGTGACCCGTTTGTTAGGATGCTGCTCCGGCATTCGCATTCCGTGTTGATATGAGAAACCACGGATAACTACCGATCGGAGCCAACCACTAAAATTCTCCTCCAGACAGTGGCTGAATTCGCTTGTGTGGAAAATCCTGCCAACGTTGGAACTCCTAGGACCTTTCGGATAGTGGCACTGTCGTGGCATCGGTTGATGCCCTGACTCACCTCAGCCGGTTTAACGCTTCCGGAAGCATGAAATAATCAATTAATCAATCAAAGAATAAGAATTAAATGAATTGAATAAATATAAAATTTCTTAGGCCATTTTTTGACGAACAGAGTAAGGAAGCTGATATTACCCGAATGACAATGATCAATATTTTGATGCTTTTGAAAAATCACGTCTCGTGAACAAATGTATCCGCATCATCAGGTTTGTTGTAAAATTATATTTAATTCAAATTACGAAGGAAATTAAATATAAGAAAATTAATATTTCCCAAGTTGTTGTTCAAAATACAAGACAACGAACCGTCCCAACCACTATTGCTGACTGATTGTTGGCCTGTTGATATAATTTCGATAGGGACAAATTTGCCATCGAAACGCGGTCATTTTGCAAAACTAATCAAAGATTGTTAATTGTCGTATGTGCAATATTTAATTTTTGAATATCTTCATCTGCAGCACAATGGCCAAAGAAGTTTTGTATTAATTGATAGTGACGGCCAACAACGTTTAAGAATTGAATAAATGTCCAAATGATAATAACGATGAGCCTTCGATCGAAGATGTATCTCCGGCACGGCAGACATGGGCACCCCACCACTACTTACAGAACATCCGGCAAAAGAAATAACAATCCTAATTTGCAGTAGTATCCTGGCGGGGGTGCGCGTGCGCAGGCGGCGGCGCTGCGGTGGCTGCAGCGCAACGCGCACGCCTTCGGGGGCGACCCGGGCCGCGTCACGCTGCTGGGCCAGAGCTCGGGCGCGGCGTGCGTCACCATGCATCTGCTGTCGCCGCAGTCGCGCGGCCTCTTCTCGGGCGTGGCTGCGCTCAGCGGCAGCGCCATCGCCGCCTGGGCCGTCGCCTCCGACCCCGGGGCCGTCTTCGAGAAGGTGCGACCCCCGGCCGGCCGGCCGGGGCATGTGACACTGCAGTGGCTCGGACCCGGAGGTCCTAGGCTCGAGTCCCGTCGGTGGCAAGATTTGCAACGCTAACTAGACAGCTAAGTCGAATTTTGTCGCTGTCTGGAGGAGAGTTCTAGCTGCCGGCTGCTCTGAACGGTATTTTTCCGTGGTTTCTCCGAGCAACACCAGGTAAATGCAAGAGCAGTACCCTTAAAAACGGGCCACGGACAGCGCGGGATATTTCTTCTTCATCTTCTTCTTGTTCTATCCTCACCGTTTGCACACACACCCGTGCGCGCACTACATGACCGCACCTATCGGGAAACCAGTCGGAAACTTAGAGCTTGGTCTGATAGAGGCAGTGCCTGGATGAAGGAAATCTCGCAAGCCGATGCGAAGGTTAGTGCCAGATCTCACCATTCAGCGGGGGATGAACACCGCCAACTCCAGTGAAAAAAACATGCACTATACTTACGAGACTAATGACCGTAACAGTTGATGATCGTGGAAACACGAAATAATCAACCACATACAGTTTCAACCACATACATAATCAACCACATACAGTCGAGCTTTCGGTCTCATTAATAGAAGCCAACATTCACCGAGCACATCAGCTGCGGGGATTCGACGGGTAGTCGCTCGCTACTTCTCGAATGGAGAATATGAGCAGGCTATACTAGGCTTGCTGTAGCCGAAGCGGGTGAAATGATTGCCAACCAATGCTAACACTTTATACGTCGTCCGGTACATTGTTCGTACGTCAGCAGACCAGTGCCAAGTTTAACATAATCTAACTCACGGCGAACTTTGAGCGTTTCCGGCAAAACTGCTAAAACTTGTTAAAGCCTGCATTTCCTCGTCGAACATATTTGTGCGAATACCGTTGCTCAGATTCACCACCGAAAGAAAAAAAATATAGAAAAACACCGTTACTTTAAATAAAAGCAATGTATTAAAAATGAAAATAACTAATTGCTGAGAAATTAAATATAAAAACAAACTACTACATACAAATACTACCCAATACGACAAGCACAATCCAACGAAGAAGAATGGTTTGACATTACCTGAATATATGTATTTATGTATCAATTTATAAATGAAAGTAAACTTTTAAAAACAAAGAATATTTACAAAATCAATTCCAATTATAGTATTAATTAAATTCTTTCAATTACATTCTTCTATGCCAATGTCATTTAAGCACCCTTATTACAAAGAATGACAGTATTGTGCGCAATATCGTTTATCAAAACATAAAACTCGTTAACTAGTCTTGGTTATGCATAACTAGACACATTAATGTAACCACCAGCTATTTTCGTCATAAACATACAATAACATCTCACAGAGGCCATGTGACAGCACTAACAATGGAGGATATGCAAAGCGTGTTGGGTAGAATCGGAAAACAGAGCAGTAATTGGCGCAATGCAGAAGTGGAGTGCTTTATCGGACGTCCAAAAGTCATGACCATTGGTTTTCGGGACAAAGTCGGAAGTAATTCTGAAACGGATACGTTTGTAACATCTTCGCGTGCAGTCATGATTAAAGTATACTTTGCAGGGCAAAATGGCGATATCGAAAATTGTCACCGAGGCGCACCACGGTCCATAGATGACAGGGGAAAACGTCGGCTCCGGAGATGTATACGGGTGGCTAGACATGCTTTAGAGCAACTGACCGTCCACATGAACCAAGGGGGTACCGACAGGGGTTCAACAACCGTTCAGCAAACGTTACTGCGTATAGACCTCCGATGCAGGCGCCTGGTTCATGTACCGATACTGACTGTTGTTCATCGTCGACGAAGGCTGGAATTTACATGCTAAACCGCAACTGGACGTCGGTAACAATCGACGAACGGAGGAGGAGGAGGGGGCGTGATGATGTAGAAATATTTTCTTGGCATTCCCTGGGTGATTTCGTAAGTCTAGAAGGCACAATGAATCAACAGCAGAATGCAGCAATCCTTGGGGATCATGTCCACCCCTATAAGCAAGACAACGCAGCAGAGCAACGCATCGTGCAGCAGGACGATGCCCCTATCTGCAAAACAATGCAACACGTCATACAGCAGAGTACTTGAGTGGTTCGAAGAGCACCAAGATGAGTTTACAACACTCACCTGGCCACCAAACTTCCCCGATCTAAACCCAATCGAGAATCTGTGGGACCATCTCGATCGGGCTGCCTGTGCCATGGATCAGTAACCGAGAAACCTGCGCAGCTGGCCTTGCACGTCTTGCAGCGGTCAGCGCTGCAAGAGGGCTTATTTAGGAAGTGTGACGGGTGATCCTATTATGTGACTGGAAGTGTACGTGTCTTATTCACTTCTATCACGATCAACTTCGGAAATAAGTACATTTATTACAGGTTTAATAACAATGTCAAATTCAATATTCCGCGAACCTTACACAACGTGATCAAGAGTATCCGGACACGTCCAAAACGGTGTTATGGTGTGGTCGTGCTTTTCATGGAGAGGGCTTGCACCCCTTGTTCTTATGTGGTACTTTCACGGCACAAGCCTACGTTGATGTTTTAAACACCTTGCTTACCACTGTTGAAGAGCAATTCGGGATGGCGATTTCATCTTTCAACGCGATCGAGCACCTGTTCATACTGCACGGTCTGTGGTGGAGTGCTTACACGACAATAACATCCCTGAAATGGTCTGGCCTGCGCAGTGTCCTGACTTCAATCCTATTGAACACCATTGGGATATTTTGGAACGCCGACTTCGTGCCAGGCCTCACCGACCTACATCGATACCTCTCCTCAGCGCAACACTCCGTGAAGAATGGTGTGCCATTCCCCAAGAAACCTTCCAGAACCTGATTGAAAGTATGCCTGCGAGAGTGGAAGCTGCCATCAAGGCTAAGGGTGGACCAACACCCTATTGAACTCCAGCACTACCGATGGAGGGCCCCATGAACTGGTAAGCCATTTTCAGCCAAGTGTCCGGATGCTTTTGATCACGTAGTGTATGTGCTGTATTTCCTCAATAAAACAAATACATTTCTTTATTTACAAAATGTTCCTCTTCTTCATTTTCTGCCCCTTTTCCTTATTAGTAAGTTATCTCATAATATGTTTCAAATGAAATTCAAAACCATTTTTCCGTGAGCTACTTTGTAATTAAATGACAATAACTAATGAATGATACGAGTACATAAAGTTTGTGATTGTAGAATATTTTAAGTTTCAAACAATATCGGACTGTGATTCTGTGAAAAATGTACATGGTACTAGAAGTTCCTATACATTATTTACCAATTGAAAAATGTCTGAAAGTATGCCCTATTGAATGTATCGAAAGTATTGAAAATATGCCCAACACCCTATTGAATTCCAGTATTGCCGATGGAGGGCGCCACGAACTGATAAGTCATTTTCTGCCACGTGTCCATTAGCAGCAGATGAATTATATAAATAACGTACACTTAACTTGTGAACCAAGAGTTGTTTACTCATCGACTTTCCATGACACTGTCACGTCCGAACTGTAGGCGATCATATCAAAAGTGTTGATTTTGCTGTTCAAGTAGGACTTTTCGTTACCCCACCACCGACCTTACTTCGTCTCAGTGTACTACACATGTCAGACACTTCCATTTTTCCTGTAACATGTCGCATTATTCACAAGTTAGCCCTCATCATGCAACCAACACTCTTCTCTCACTTCACATGTAATCTACTCTGATACCAATAAAAGTTACGAAATATTAAAAAAAATACGTAACACTTTATGGCCCACACTGACGTTCGGCAGGTCATGTTGTGATGCAGCAAACGAGATCTCGGGCACCCCTTGACACCATACAAATTATTACTTTTTCGAAGAATCTTTACCATATGGTAAAGTAGCATAAAATTATGAGACTTCGACGCGGTCAAACATTAACAATACGTATCTTGGACTTTCTTTTGATAAGCAATCAGAGGAATGTGGCATAGCATCGAGTCTTAGGTTAATACAGCTTCTATGGACCGGTGGGAAGCTTAGAGCGAATCCCGGCTGGGGCGGTGGCCTGCTGGTGGGAGATACCTGATTGGGGAAAACCCTACTAGCCGACGGTAGGTCGGCGCCGGATCTCGCCATTTTGCCAAGCAAGATCACCATCACCTCCCGAGCAAACAACATGCTCTGCACTTACAAGAATAGTAGTACCTCAGAAGTTGACGCGCCTGGAATCACTAACAATCGATCAATCAATCATACAATACAGCTTCTCTGGCTTTTTGAGTTGTGGTGGGTCTTAAATTTTAGATTTACTTTTTCAATCCCGACGCATTTAAGGTTTTCTTAAATACGACAGAAGGAGTGTTTTCCTTAGAAATTGATATCCATGTGGTGGCATTGTTACAGTGTATTCGGTATTTAATTAGGAACTTGTTTATAGCAATAATCACTCTACTGGAAAACGAATCCGAGTCCTTTTTATGCTTTAATCACTAAGGTATCTCGACGAACTTGTAATACGGGTATGTTAGAGTTTATCGGCCGAGTATTTTAGAGTTTTTTGTAGTCCTTTATCACAGTGGCATAAACGCCCTGAATTAAAGAAAGATATAACAAAAACTTTTGGATATTGTGTCGAAAATTAAATTGCCAGAGAATATAATGTCATTTCCAGGTGGCGCGCGTTGTGGGTTGTGCAAAGAAAGATGGGCGGGATGATGATTTCAAGACCCCACAAGAAATGGAAAATGAGGTGAGTGATGAGTAATAGGAGGACTTGTTCAAACATCGAATAATACTTTTGAAGAAGTAAATACGTATATACAAATGAGATATTTAGTTTACTATACTATAAGTAGAAAAGTGCAATGTATCAAAGCCAATGGGTGAAGAATCATGGCATCTTCCTTCTAGCCAACAGGAAGGGAGGATTAGGATGGGTGATGGCAGTATGGGCCTCATTTTTGCCCAAGCATAAAGAGTCCGATTACTACGAAATATTCTTTGCATGACTGTCATGTTCTCACGTTGTACAATCCTCCAAATTTCCATATTTTTCCATCTTATGCTGTATTTGAAGCCCTATAGTGATGAAGGTTCAATTGCTAAAAAAGACTAAATTGATGTTCTGTACAAAATAACAGCTATTTCCGGCATTTGATGTTACGTCGGGATCTTACTTTTTAGATTTATTTTTCTGCTTGATGCATTTCCAGTTACAACTGGTTACCAGTTATCAACAGGCATCTCTTGATTTCGGTTGATACAGTCGGGTGCAATACTCCCATATGTGAATCGTTCACATCTCTATCAGCAACCAATCAGTGGTTTCAGGGTAATAGACTTGAAAATCCTTTCTGGAGTTATTAGTTAATATTGCTATGTAAATAATTATAACTCTCATATGTCCAGGGTGTATTAGTAAAAAAATTGTATTTAAAATTTTTTATGTAGGTGATGTTCCAGAAAAGACAAACGTTTGCAAACGAATTCGTAACTTTCATTTAAAATTATAAATGTATTAGTTTCTCAAAAAACTATTCAACGTATAGTTTTCAAATCTTGGACATTGTTTCAGTATTCAAAGGAAAAAAATTGTGTGTAAGAATTTTTCAAATATTGTTTAGATTCATCATGGAGATGTTTGAATTATTTTTTGCATCCGAAAATAACTGAATATTCATTATCTAGTATTTAAGAAAATACAAGTAATGCAGCAATTTCCTTATACTCATTTGTTTATTTATATTTCAGGCGCAGTTCTGTAAGTTTTCAATTTAAAATGTTATCGATTTTCCGAAAAAACGTGCCTTAGTAAAGTTGAACATTAAAGAAATTAAAAATCCCATAATATAAATAATTAAAACAAAATGAGTTTTATTTAATAATAAACATATTTAAATATAAACTCGTTCAGACTACAATATTTCATTGTTCTACATAAAATCCTCACTGCTTAAAACATTATATAACTACATTGTGTAAATCCTTAAGAACTTATTTCATCTCTCAGTTCACATACAAACGAACCACGAACATCGCGCGATTATTCCTTCTTCTTCCTTATCCAATCCTTATCCTTTCTAACACATACACTTACATGTGATACGAGAACACACATACCGGGAGACTGGTCTGGAGATCCCAGGGCTTGTCCCGTCTGAGGATGTTCCCAGCTAGTGGGAGAAACCTGGTTGGGGAAAACCCCGTTAGCTGACGGTTGGTCTGCGTTGGATCTCACCATCCGGGGGGGATCACAGCCATCATCCGCGACAAAACATGCACAATGGTAACGGGAATAACGTCCTTATCCGTTGACGCGCCCGCAATCACTAATCAATCGATGAAAATCAATTTACATACCTTGAACGCTTGAATACTGAGAAATAGTTGTGTCTGCCAGGCAAACGCCACGACGCCAGAGGCTGTCGACGACGAAGACGATGAGGACGAGGAGGACGAGTGCGGGCCGAAGGGCTGCTCCCAGCCGCTGCCCGAGACGCGCGAGCAAATGCTGCAATGCATGCGACGCCTGCCGCCCTTCATGCTGGTGCAGACCCTCTACAAGTTCCCGTGGTGGGGCCTGCGCATGCCGGTGCCCTTCGTGGTCGCTGTGGAGAAGCAGGTGAGCGCGCCGCGCGACAATCCGCACTACGCTGAGTGCCGTTACAAGACAGCGACTTCATAGCCTTTTGACAAGCAGCATCGCTTCAATTCAATTATGCCCTATTTGACGAGGCGAGACTCGGGCCATGAGGTCTGCTCTTTCACCTGACCACGCAAATTTCGCAACGCTCCTTTTACCCACTAGCGTCAAAACAGGTGATACGTGGGTTACGAAACATGAGATTTGAACATGACAGTGCCTCCGCTCTAGATTCGCCGACTGCCTCGACTCGTTAAGCAGTTTTGACCGGATGCAAAACAGGGATGCCAGCCAGCTACATTCCGAGGCTGTCATCATACATTTCCCAAACGCTATCTGACGCCCGCATTCCATGAAAAAAACCCGGCCCGCACCCTCCAAAGAGTCGATGGAGCTCCGCCTGTCGCCAACCTGGCGCCTCTGGACCTGCCTCTCCCCCTCTCCGTCCGCACGCCTTTTGCGTGCCCGACCGAGCAAAATGCTGTGACGTCATAAATTAAACCAATGCTTTGCCAGCAGCGCCACTCGGACGTGCTGCTGAGGGGTTCCGTGTGAAGGGGCTCTGGGTGCGCATGTGGTGTAGGGATGTGGGAGGGAGCAGCGCTTTCTGCCCGACGAGCCGCTGAAGCTGCTGCAGGAGGGGCGCGTGAACGCCGTGCCGCTCGTCACGGGTATCACGTCGGCCGAGGGCCTGTGCGTGGCGCTCGCCACCTTCGTCAACCCGTCGCTGCGACGTCAGCTGCGCTGGCGCTTTCGACACGTGTTCGACCGCCACATCTTGTACGGCCGCTGGTCGCAGGCGAGTATCTCTCGTTCCTTCCCGCCTTTGCCGTTTCGACTCTCTTCCGCCAACATCTACAAGCATCTCGACTGTATTCACCGGGAGAGGGGCTCAGGCCATCAACTGATGTTAATGCAGCATTTTTGAAGGGGGAGGACTTGGCGTTCGAGTCCCGACAGTGGCAGGGTTTTCGACACAGCTAGACAACTGGGTCACGTTCTGCGGCTAAACGGAAGAGAATTCTAGCGGCCGGATTCTATGATTGGTAGTTTTCCGTGGTTTCTACGAATAATGCCATGTGAATACCGGGGCAGTACTCTTACAAACGGGCCACAAACGTGCGCGATCCTTTGTTTCTCTTCCTTGTTCTATCCTCCCCCTTATTTATACACACGTATACCAACATGGTCTACACTGCCTCACATGTCGGCAGACCGGTCGGGAGCTTAGAGTTTGTCCTGATTGAGGCGGTGCCTCACCGGTAGGTCGGCTTTGTATCTCACTATCTAGTGGGGGAAGTTTACAACCATCTCCCGAGGAAAACATGCACCACACTTCGGGGATTTAACAGTTGACACCCCCGGAATCACTAATCAATCAATAAATAAAAGATTAATCCTTATTGGCAACTTCAACTTATTTGAAAACAATAAACAAACACACAAAAGCATCAAATCCGCGGGGACTGGCTGACAGTTCTGGGTGACAACTGTTGCCACTGCAAAGTCTCTGAATAGGAAATCCAAGAGTTGGAGATTGACGTTGGCAGATTTTCTACAGTAGTTACGTAGCAAGATCGAATGCAGCCACTGTCTGAAGCACAATTCTAGCGGCTGGCTGATCTGATTGGTAGTTTTCCCCTATCACTTCCAGACGTATGCTAGAGCGGTACGGGACACGTACCTCGCGAGATCTTTCCTTCGTCTTAAGCCTCTTCTCCCCCTTTACACTCACACACTTTCACTTACATGCAGTACACGACCACACTGGGCGACTAGTCGGGAGATGAGAACTTCGTTGGTGGAGATACTAGGACGCGGAATACCTCGCCAGCCGACGAGTAGTGATGCCGGATATCACCATCCAGCAGGGAAGAAACACCTCCAATCTGTATTACTCTACATACTCATATCGCTCTTACCCTCATGTACAGGAATTAAATGAGGCCCAAGACAATGGGGGAGTTCGTTGGCTCCCCGTCGATGTCGGATTATTGACCCAAAATGTTTAATACATGCAGAGGAATAATGAGTACAGCAGCTGACGCGCCAGAAGCCCGAGACAATGAACGAATTGCAGGCGGACCTGGTGAAGCTTCGGCGCTTCTACCTGGGCAGCGGGTCGCCGGCCAAGCTGCCCGACCTGAGCCTGAGCTCGCTGACGCGCCTCTTCTCCGACGGGCTGTTCACGGCCTCGCAGACGCGCTTCGCCCGCCTCTGGGCGCACGCCACCGGCATGCCCGTCTACTTCTACGTGTTCGGCTTCGAGGGCCGCGCGGCGCAGGTGGGCCCCCACGGTGGTCGCGCGCGGTTGCCCTGGCTACGGCGGGGTGGCCAAATGCATTTCAGTCCTGAAGAAGGCCACGAAGGAATGGCTTTCAATGACGGCTGAAAACCATTTCGCGGCTAACTGTATTTGTGTTTACAATAGTCGATGATAATGTGCTAGCACGACCCGCGCGAATATTGAGCACTTTCTAATCAGGGTTGTCCAACTTGTGGCCCGCGGTGCCATTTATTGTGGCCTGAGAAAAGTGATTAGTCAGAAGTGAAAGTCCCTTGCATTCATGCCGGGCAAAAACATTGAGCGCCCAGCGCACGCGCCCTGCCGGGATCAGTTAATGTAAAAATAGGTTAAGTTTACATATAAGGATTTTTTCTACTAAATTTCGAAATTCAAAATCATTTCGATGTGTTTCACTCCATTACGCCTGGTACAGACCGATATCACGCATGGTATCATCCCCACCTTTTCAGAGCAGCCGAGCAAACTGCCGATATCAACAATACAGGAAAGTAAGGTGTGGATCGCCAGAGTAATTAAAATACGCCCGGCAACCATATTAAAGGTTTTAGTTGTTGCCCTTGAGGCCTTCCAAGTTCGACATCTCTGTTATACATCATTGATTCAACAAGAAAATGTTTTCAAACTGGAATCTAACTTCGGACGGGCAGGCCCTGAGTTCGACGTTTCATCATAGTGGTCTGACCATATTATATTCTAATATTGCAAAGTGTCAACAAACAGAAATAAGTGAATTTAATTTTTCATATATTTTGAAATTCTGCACGTTTCTGACCACCTGTGCTACAGAGTGGAGATGCCCAGAAAGAGCTAAATCAAAAAAGAATATTAATTGCAATTATTGGAACAGTAGCATTGAAAACAATTTTTACAATACATTCTACAACTCCTTCCTGTATACGACGATTATATTTTGTATGATTAATAAGATACTATCCTTATATATACTAGGCGTCTCGAGTAATGTAATGTGGTACCCAATGAAACCTATTACATTTTTGGAGGTTTGGCTATTCTGAGTACCCATATTCTTGAGAATTACTGATGGTTCAAAATGTGCAGAATGTATAAATATATAAAAAGCTAATATTAATATATATATATATTACTAATATAGCTATATACATATATATATATGTATATATATACACATATATATTACAATATATATACAATAATATTAAATATACATTTAATTCACAAGCGTCTAAATATTTTTGTTTGTTATCAAATTGTTATCAATATTTGAACAATTACTCACCACCATTCCGGCATATACGGGCAGTTCAGGCCCTGACCTTTTAAAGTTTTGTCCCAGTACGTAGCAATTATCACTAAAATATAAACATTTGCTTAAAACAAAATTGATAAAGTGTATCATGTCCGAACGGGTTAAACATTAATATATATTAATGAAAAGCTCGAGAAATTATATTTCTAATGACATTTTATTCTGAAAGATACTTTTGGTACAAGAGGCGAAAAAGAATTCTTAAGCAGAGAAATAGTATTACCGTAATAAGATTAAATAATAATAGTTATAATAAAATTAATAATAATAATAATAATAATAGAGACGATTAAACATTCACAGAAACTGCCATTACCACCCATATTTAGTGTTCGGTTTCCTGACGTAAGCTAGTAAAGTAAAGCTTTATTTTTTCTAAAATAATGTTTGGCTCCCACTTAGTTTCAGCTCCCAAGCCGCCTCAGAATCACGGGAGGGGGAAGAGTAGGTACTTATGGGTTGGTACAGAAGCTTTTTGGACTCTATAGTCGGAAGATTATATTTTTAATAAGGTTTGAATTTTCATTGCTAAACGGTAGTGGAGAACAAAGACTAAAAGGCAGGCACTCTAAGCAATACAGATCCGCTTATGTGCCCTTGGAAGGAAGAATTGCTCCGATGTTACTGGTCGTAAAGAGAATATGATATAACTTGCCCGTCCCTCCCTCACTCTATCTCCCTCTCGCTCTTTCTATTCGGTCTCCTCCATCTCCTAACATTTTTTATCATCTGTATTATGTTGCGCTGTAATTATTCGGGATTACTTCATTCGGGCTCTATGAAGTAATTGGCGAGGGAGCGAGATTTGGCTCTAGAAGTTTGGTCCATATCAGAGGAGACCAGAGTATGCCCTTCAATTCACTTTATTTGGAGAATATGCATTGTATATACATTTGTATCAATCTGTATCTATTCTGTTGTCACAAGCCATATCAAAATATATTCGGAAATATCACTGAATATATTTTATGGAAAATTCTATAAATTTCATAAGGCAGTAAACTACAATAACAATTAAAAAATATATAAATGTCTAGAAGTAAATTAATTAGCGTTATAAAGTATTTCTAAAATAAATTAGTTTGCTTCAGTGGCTTATTTACTCGTTTTTCGTCACAATGCGTAATTGAAAGCAGTGAGATATTGAAATAGAAATCAATTTTTTTAATAAATATAGTTATTTGTTTTTAATATATTTTAATTCAATCATTTTAGATTTCTAACACAACTGCTACGCGTTTTCAAGGAGTTTTCAAATCTACTTGTAATTTTACTGTGTGAATGTATATTCCATTTCAGAATATCAATTTTTGCTGATAATTTTACCTTTAAATAGAATGAAAATATATTTTTTGACTGAGAAATCTCTCTAAATAAATAAATATTTTATACATATGGATTAGCATTTTTATTTGATGACACAAATGTTGAGCCTGAAGCTTTTGTATTTGTTTTTGAAGGGTCTTATTGATGACTACGGTACAGTGCCTTTGTATTACAAGGGTGATGTGCAGCGTTAAGCATTTACCTCAGGGGAGTCATTTAGTACAGATGTTCCTTCAACACATCGCAAATCTGATACTTTGAATGGCTGTATTTATTTATCTTTCAAAGAAAGCCATACGAAATGAAGCCGCAAAAAGGAACTTGAATTCTTAAATGAAGGGTTCAGGAGAAGATGGTGCGGACGAATCCCAAATAAAGATCTTACAATATCTCCAAATTTGTGCACTAAAATGTTCATATATCTACGCCATCGAATTAAATTGCATCAATATAAGAGAACTAAATGTAAGACACGCCTGAATTCACAAAACAATTAATTTTCATGTGTCCGAAAGAATTACAGAAACGTGGGTTAGCTCCCTCTTCCCTCGACCCGTTCAAATCCAGTTAACCCTAAATAATTTAAACCGATGAGGTAGCTCAGGGCATCTATTGATGTCACTGTAGTGTCTCTGACAGGGAAATCCTAGCGTTCAATTTCCGACGATGACAGGATTTTTGACATTAACTATACGGCTAGGTCGAATTCTGTCACCGCCTGGCCGGCTGCTCTTATCGGTAGTTTTCTGTGGATTCTCTGATCAACACTGGGCGCAGTACCCTAATAATCGGGTTGCGGGCCTCACACAATCATTCCTTCCATTTCCTTGTCCTATCCTCCTTTCTTACACACTCACTTACATGCACCTCACTGCCACACTTGATGGGAGGCGAGTCAGGTAGTTAGAGCTTGTTCCGTTTGCGGCGGGCAGGGCTCCCCTGGGGGAGATACCTGAAAGGGGAAAAGCCGAAAGCCGAGTGTAAATCGGTGCCGAACTTCACCATCCAGAGGGGAGAGAACACCGCCAACTCCAGTGGTAACAAGACGCACTACACATACTGGACTAATGACGCTTGCTCTTGGAGCGTATGCAATCACTAAATAATCTTCTAAGGGCCGTATTCATAGTCGACACATAATCGATTTTTGAAGAACACTTAAGTATTTACTTATTCGCATTTTCAATTCATAGTAGTCATCACTTAGGTGTTTGTTTAATCTTACAAGTGACCTTATCTTAACCCTTAAGTGGCCCCTTATTTTTCAACGTGGAATAGCATTAAATATTTTTATGAGATTTTTGATTTCAAAATGGTAGATCGTGTACCAAAACATTATTTAAGAGACATAAAAAAACCCTTTGAAAAAGGAAAGGCAACGAGAATTTAAGAAGAGTAACGTTTTGACGAAGATACGGTAGTAAAAATTAGTGTCTCTATTGCTCACTCACTACGTGGGCTATAAGAATAGAGGATAACCTTTACCAACAGTCCTAAAAATGCTAATTGGACACAGATTTTATGTAATATAATCATTTCAGTTACGTAATTTATTGATTTCAATTGCAAACCATCATATTTTATAGGTTTTCCTACGAGGACATGTTTTATATGTTATCTTACAATGATGTTCACAATGCATCATATGAAAAGGTGTTTTTATTTTATAATTTTTTTTCACTTGATATGTGCAGATCTCTGTAGTATAAGTCAGCCCTCAGTTTGTAGAATCATTACAGACATGACTGAAGTGGCATAAAGAAATATTAAAAAGTTCATAAAATTCCCTTCATGTGTTGTACAAATATCGTACCCCAATAATTATACTTACTAATCACGCAAAATCGGAAATATTCTACGAAAAACAATTATCCGCACAGGACTTATTGCATCAAAGCAACAAAACGAAATTTATAGTTTATTTTCTGTTGATAGTCGGTAGATGAAACCAGATGGTATTTATACGGGTAAAAGAGCCGCAAAAAGTTGTAAACAAGATTGACACGACCTTCTACAATCGTGTCTAGTAACCAATAAAGCAATGTTGCCAAATATTACGTAGCGAAATATTGCTTGAGTGCGAGTTTCGAATAAGTGGGGGTCTACACATAACTATCACAAGGCTTCACTTATTTTAAGTAGAGGCCTATTCCTCAAGCGTTTACTTGACGTATAAGTGTTGACTATGAATCCGGCCCTAAATCGCTAATGACGACGGTGGCGCAGGTGATGCAGCATCTAGGCCTGTACCCGGGCCCGTACGGCGTGGACCATGGCGACGACCTGCCCTACCTGTTCGACGACTCGCACCGGCCCTTCCCCGGCGGCCGTGACCAGCGCGAGCGCGTGGCGGCGCGCCTGTGGACCACCTTGATGGTCAACTTTGCGGCGTCGGGCCATCCCACGCCCGACCAGTGTGCGCGCGCGCCTATCAACTGGCGCCACATCGGCCCCGGCTGCGCCTTCCGCT